GAGTCTCCAGGGCCGGCCCCGTGGCTTAGCGGTTAAGTGCGCACGCTCTGCTGTTCGCGGCCCAGGTTCGGATCCCGGACGCACTCCGACGCACCGCTTCTCTGGCCATGCTGAGGCCGCATCCCACATACAGCAACTAGAAGGATGTGCAACTACGACAAACAACTATCTACTGGGGCTTTGGGGGGAAAATAAATAAATAAAATTATAAAATACATCAAGTGACAATGCTTTAAAATGTATGTTTAAATAATGATGTATTTGCAGAAAAAAGAAAAACTCTGAAAGTATGAACCCCAAGTTATGCAAAGGAGTGACCCCTGAAGAAAGGGATTTTTACTTTTATATCTTTGAGTTGTTTTTAACATGCCAATATTATTTGTATAACTTAAAACACACCAAGATCAGAAACATTAAAAAATCTAGAAAAAATAACCTAGATGGAATATGCCAAAGTGTTAATGCCAATTGCCTGATGGTTTTTTTCCTTTTAATTTCTACACATGTATTAGTTTTTACTAATTCTATTTTTTTTGCTGGGAAAGATTCGCCCTGAGCTAACATCTGTTGCCAATCTTCCTCTCATTTTTCCCTCCCCAAAGCTCTAGTACATTGTTGTATATTCAAGTTGTTAAGTCCTTCTAGTTCTTCTAAGTGAGCTGCTGCCACAGCATGGCTACCAACAGACGAGTGGTGTGGTTCTGCACCTGGGAACTGAACCTGGGCCGCCACGGCAGAGTGCGCCAAACTTGAACCACTAGGCCATCAGGGCTGGCTCAGTTTTTACTAATTCTTAATGCAAATACATTCTCCTTGTAAAGTTAAATATTACAGATCAGGCTTTTTACCACCCTCACCTTCCAATCCTAGTCCCCTCCCCAGAGTGATCAATGTTATCAATTTGGTGTACGTTCTTTTGTGTATATGTGTATATATATGTGTATACAATGTGTATATTCATATACACATACATAAATACACATTGTATACATTATCGTTTTGTTTTTAAAATGACATCAGTTTATGAGTCCCTCTGCAATTTCACCCATCAAGATGTCTCAAAGACTGTCCTGTGTCAGTAGATAATATGGATGTCCCTCATTGTATTAGATTAAGTAGTAATATAGATATACCAGACTTTATTTAGCTAATCTCCTATTGACATCATGTAGGTGGTCTACAGTATTTTTCTATTATAAGTAACACTGCAGTGAATTCCCTTATAAATGCCTCCTTCTGCAGGCATGAGAAGGTTTCTTTGGGACAGATTCTAAGTGGAACTGCTGGGTCAACAGAATATGCACATTTGTTATTTTAACAGATACCACAGCAAACTGCTTGCCTAAGTGTCTGTACACACGTCTACTCCTACTGGCAGTGTAGGCACACACGCCAATACTTAAACCTTTTACTTTTTGCCAACTTGATGAATGAAAATGGTACCCCGTTGTTGTTTTAATTTCCTTGAATAACAGGACGTGCATCTTTTCACGTTTGTAAGTCATATATGTTTCCTTTTTTTACGAATTTCTTCTTTATAAAATGTGTCCATTTTTCTGTTGTTTGTCCTTTTCTCAATGACCTGGAAGAGTTCTTCATATATTCTGGAAACTAATATTTTGTCTACTTTATAAGTGCAAGTAGTTTCTCCCAGTCTTTGTCTTTCAACCTTATTTTTTTTTTTTTTTTGGAATCCAGTTTTCCACAGATATGTCAAATTTAGTAAATTATGGCATTTGCATTTTATGTTTTAAGAAGGCCTTCCCTACCCCAAGGTCATAAATATAATCCATATTTTTTTCTAAGCTCATCATCTTGTTTTTCATGTTTATTTAACCCAGATGAAATTTTAGTGAATGGTAGGAAACAGGGCCCTTAATCATTTTGGTAATGCCTAGCAAGGTGCTAAACATCCTTTTCTCCACTGATTACAAATACTACATTATATACTAAGTTTCCAAATACATTAGTCATTATCTCTATTCTAGTCCACTGATTTTTTTGGTCTATTTTTGTACCACTACCAAGTTGTGTTCACTACTACAGCTTTAAAATATATTCTGATATCTGGTAGGCAATCCCCCCTCCTCCTTTTTGTTTTTCCAAATTGATCTTGGCTATTCTTGCACCTTTACTTTTCCAAATGAATCTTAAAATCAAATTTGTCAAATTCAAATATAAATCCTTTAGGATTTTGATTGAGGTTGCACTCAATTACAGGTTAGATATAAATCTACACCTGAAATACACCAAAACTTCCATCTTTGAACACGTAACCTCTCTCTCTTTACTTAGGTCTTTTATATCCTCTAGTAATATTTTATTGCTTTTGTGCACGTTTCATTTTAGGTTCATTATCAAGCACTCCTGAAGTCTCTCATTAGTTTTCATAACTTGTCAGTTGATTCTCTTGTATTCATGTTGTCTGAAAATGAATGTTTTGTCTCCTTTTCAATATCTGTGGTTCTTACTACTTTTCTTTTCTTATTGTATTGGCTACAATAAGACCAGCAGAACAATTCTGAATAGTACTGGTAATGGTGGTCACCCTTGTCCTTTTCATACCTAATAGGTTTGCTTAAACACTCCTCCATTCAGTAGGTTTTCTGTAGGTAACCTTTGTCAAGTTAAGGGCATTCTGTTCTATTCCTAGCTTTTATTCGCACATGGAATTGCATATCATCAAATGCTTTTTTGGTATCTACTGAGATAAGCATAATTTCTTTCTCCTTTAAAATATAGATTTTGTGAATTACATTGATAAATTTTCTATAGTTTTGAACCAATCTTCTATTCCTACTAAAAGCCCTTTTTAGTCATGTTTCTATTTTTGATATTTACATCTAAGTTTATAAGTGACAAAAGCCTATGTGTAACTTTCTAATATGGAAAATAAATACACACCAAAAAAAGGATTATATATAAATATTTTTGCATTATTTGTTAAAAAGAAAATATATAGGTAAAGATATACTTAATTTTACTTAAAAAAGAAAAAGCTAGTGTGTAAATTGAATGTTTGCAAAATGAACAAATGGAATATGCTTTGACGTGTTCTTCTATTCATTAAATTCTCTCTTTGGGTTAATGCTGTCACCATCAATTGAGCCACTCACTCCAGCAAGCATCACTGAAGTCTCCACACAGCCTTCTCCTCTACCTTCCACACCCAGCCATTCACCAAGCTCCAAAACTCCCACTGGTCATTCCACCTCACACCTCTCCTGGGAGGCCACCGCACGGAATGAGCAAGGTCAGGATTTTAAGACAGACTTGGCTCCAATCACACTGCACATTACTGCATTGCCTTGAGTAAATTACTTTACCTCTGTGGGCCCCAATTTCCTCATCTATAAATAGATATGATGCTATCAAGACTGCAGTTTCGGTAAAAATTAAAGATAATGTGTGTAAAGTACCTACCACAATGCTTGCCATCTACTGCATGACCAAACGTTAACACCATCTCAAGATTTCCTCTCCTCTCCTTCTCCTCTGTTGTGCCCTAGGTGGGACCTTCCAGTCTTCACCTGGTCTGTGACAACTGTCTTCTAGTCTTTCTGCCATCTGTACACTGCTGCCAAGCTCACCTTCCAAACTACAAATCTAATCATGTAATTCACCAGTTTAAATCTTTCCACTGGCTCCCACTACCTACTAAAGTTCCGACCCTGTAGCACGACTTGTAAGGCCCAGCTCAACCTACCTTCTGGCCTTATCTTCCTCCACTCTATTCCAAGTGCTTTACACTCCAGTACATTGATACTTATATTTTCTATTGAAAACCCCAAGCTTTTTGACTGTGCTTTGCCTTTACATATGCTATATGCTGTTCCCTCTTCCTGAAAGCCTTTCCTTTATTTTCTACTAAGCAAAAATTCCTATGCAATCTTTTAAGACAAAGCTCAACTGGTACTTCTTTTAAAACAAAAATTAATCCCACACAAAAGTAATTACCCCATCATCAACATGGCAGTTTTCACTGCTGTAATATTAAAATTACTCACTTATATATCTTTCCCCACTCACTGAGGCAAAAACTGTGTCTTATTTTACTCTTTATTAACTCCCCAGAAGCCTAGGTCATTTGTGCATTCAGCACTTTGGTTAATGAATGACACAATGAATGAAATAAATAAAATTTGGTTTTAACAAGCCTTTATTAAATCTTTCAACAAAGCAGAGTATCTTCTGATTATGTTAACTAGACTTTGAAAGTTGATATTTTTAAAAGAATGGGTTTTCTTAAGTTAGCCTTTACCACAATGAAACCAATTTGCCCTACTGGCAATTTTAAGGGTTCATGGAGTAATTCTGGAGCAAAGGAACCCCTCTGGGAATTCTGATTAGCTACGTGCTGGCTGAGAGGCCGCTTTGAAACTACTACTCTTCAGGTGCTGACAGTCAGCCATTATTAGGAGCCAGAAGTATTACATTATTTTGAAAGAATGTATCTTTCATGACTTAGACCTGTTCTCAATGAACAACTTTCTTCCAAAGGTGCAAACATCCTGCTACCTTCTCTCTCCAAATAAATGAGTTTGGTTCTATTATAGTTTGCTCCTGAAGTCAGGAAACACAGCTCAGACAAAAACATTTCAGCAATGTTATTTGTGTAGGCTGAAATATGAAAAGAAGAAGAAACCCTCTTACATCAGAAAACCTCCCTAAAATATACACAATTCAATTTCATGTGTGGTGGTGTGTATTACTGTGAGCCAAAAGATGGCATTGATGGCCATAAGAGACTCATAATCTCTGCTAGCCAAAGATAATAACAGTGGCTCTAATTAGAAACTATGGAAAAAATACAAAATAAACAGAATGACTTAGTCTCATAGTCTTTTTAAAGAACCCAACATACAAGTCACCAAAATAACCTTTAATTTCAGAAAAACAAATTATGACTAAAGAACCGATATTCCACGATGATTTTTGAATAATTCTTTCACTTTAAAAAAAATCAAATGTTTTTCTCATAAATAAATATATTATTTTACAACAAGAAAGAAAGAAAAAATGAGACCTGCAGAGAGAAAAAAACACCACCGATTTTAGCTCAAATAGTAGAGCCTGGGATTAATTTTTTAAGTTTATTTGTCAATTTCAAAAACTCACTAGTGGAATAAAGAACTTAATACAGGTATGCAAAAAGGAAGCCCGTGCCGTTTTCACCAGGATGAAATGGGATTAGCTTTGAAGTTCTTATAATCTTCTTCACAGAAGAATGCAATTTCAGTTTCATTGGCTGAAAAAAAGAAAAACAGAAAGTGGAAAAAAATTTTAATGTTAAACTAGATTTTAAGCAAGTATGGAAGTCCATATTACTTTGATTCAGTGCGTTAGACACCTAAAGTGAGAAAGATGAGTCATTTGTTTGGTTTCACATTTCACCAAATAAACAAGAAGCATAAGTTGTAGTTATAAGAATCTAGAATTCAAATAACTTAAAAGTGAAAAGAAAAATAACGAAAAAAAATTAAAAACAAGAATTAACACAAGAATCTGGTTCTCAGGAAATCATAAAATTGCTCATTTATAGTCCTCTTAACAGTCCCAGAAAATAACAAACCTTTTATTTTTTTCAAATTTGCTACTCAGTTGCTGAAGGAGGAGGAAAAACTCTTTTTTTCTCTGAAATTAGCCTGTAGGTATAATAATTTAATACTTAGAGGATCAGTAGAATATTTTACAGATCACTTTACATTCTCCCTCATGACCCATCAAAATATGTGTCTGAGGAAGTTAATTTTTTGCCTGCTTATGATTAATTCATGAGGCTTCAACAATATGCAAAGTGAAAGACACAAATTGGCTTCTACCGCAATACCTTCAAATACCTCTAATTATTCACAGGGGATATGGCACAGCTAAAGGACCCACAAAGGTTCAGAGCAGTCACAGTTCTTTCAACCTAGCAGGTCAAGGACTCCGTCTTCTAAAACAATAAGTCAGCAACATTATTAATTCAGACTGGAGACAAATCTGACGGAAAGCCTTCCAATTATTAAACATGCAATTCTTTAAGGTGTTGCGCCAACAAGTTGCACATTCGTTTTTTAAATTAAACCAGAAGTTAATACAATCTGCTTAGCTTTTACAGAAAGAGCAAAAGGGCCTTCAGAATCTCGACAAGAAAACAGACAAGATTATTTGTAATGAATACTGATCACTCAATTAACATATCCTCTAAAAACAGACAAGTAAAACTCTTCAAGCCAAATAAACAGGATAATAAGGAAGGATGCCAAGAATTACCACCGGTCTCTTGGTTTAACACCCATCTCGTCAATAGAATTTATCACAAAAGAATGAAATTAAAGAGCTCAGCATGATATTTCATTAAAAATGTTTTTGCTGAATACGAAATTTAATGTTTCTCAATTGTAAGTCATCCGTGCTCATTACAGGAAATACAGAAATGTTGAAAGAAGAAAATAAAATCACCCATAGTTCAGATTAAATGAGGATTAATTCTGATGAAAATCAGATTGCAAACTCCTGTCACAATAAGCCTGGGGTGGGGGGTGAGACACAGCAGAGAGAAACTGGGCATTAACGAGGAGGGGCTGTAAGCAAATACACACTGGCAAACAATAAGTTAATGGACAGTTAAATTTTACAAGAAAATAGCATTTAAAAGAATGGCTAAGAGACTCCACGCTTGGAGTCAGTAAAATGTTGAAAAGGAGGCTTCAAAAAATTCAATATTCAAAGAGAAGATATTTTGAGATCTGTCCTTCATATAAAAAGCTCTTGGGGTTTCCTTTTTTGAAGGGAAGCAAGCCCAAAGGTAGACCTATATAATTTGCAAGTGATTCTAATCCTCCTCCTAATGGAGAAGGAGCAAAAGCACTGTTCTTAATAATCACGATGCCAGGTTTTCTCTAGATGTGCTATTTACATACAGAACATCACATCGTGCTTTGCCCCCACAGCACTTGGCTCCATACACACGAACTGTAATTACAATGTTCACTTACTGCAGTTGACATTTATCTGTACCCCTTTTGAGAAACTAATACATCATACAGCTCTTCAGTATGGTAATAAAAGGTTCAAAATACGCTGATGTAAAGAAAGGTCAAAACAAAAATGCTTTGTCAGTCACGTAGGTTCTCTTGGGTCTAATTAACTTATCGATTGATCCATTCTTTATATAAAGTATTTACGCTATCTCTCATAACACAGGGTCAAAATGAGATCATCTAAGGCAAAGATTTTATTTTCAGACAAATGCGTTTTTTCAAGAAAACTAGATTGAGAAACAGGTTAAACTCAAATATTCCAGGTTGATAAAATTTTTCACCCTTAACAAACTGGAAAACAACACATAAATTAAAAGTTAGTTACTCTGAACATTGAAAAGTAGGATATAAAATGGATTTTAAACTTTAGTAATGTGGTCCTCAAACAGAAATAGAATACGATGTTTTTTGAAATCTGTAAAACTGCTGAAAACACTGGAGAGAATGATTTCATGTACTTCTACTACTGCAAATTTACTTGCCAATTAAAGTGGAAATGAATTATGAAAGATTTTTCAAGACCTCTACATAATCACTCTTTCCACCATTATCCCTTAAATTCTTGCTTCCCCAATTCTATTTAAAATGGCTCCGGAAGAACCATCAGGAAGTCTACCGTGTGCCGGTCCCCTAGGGCACCTGATTTTAAATTAAATGTGCTGCAGGCGGCAGTGCACTCAGGTGCACAGTGCCTTGGCATGCGAATCTGAAATGAATGTGCAATCTAAAATCCAATAAATACATTGCCAGTTCATCCCTTTGTCTTACTATCTAATCAAATCAAGTAAGAACCCTCCAAATACATCTGTGGATCATTTGAATACAGACTTGCAAGTTTAATGAAATGAACACAAGCCAGGACATTCAAACTTTGGATATTATGTTGCCAAACAGGTCAGACACACAGGCATACGCCTTTAACAGGAAAATAATGACTTTAAATAAAAGAATATAAGAAAAAACAATTTAAATGTAAAATCGCAAGAAAAATTACATGCAATGTATTTAACTCCTCAACTAACTTAAAAAATTCGCCTGTGGATGAAGATTTATTGCATGGTTTCTAAGTCCCTAGCCTCGTACTAGTCACCAGCAAAGTAGCGTAAGGCACAGCAACTGTGTCTGAGAAAGGAGAGTGAGACATGGGCACTGACTTTGTGGCACAGATAATGAATGACCAGGGCAGGCTGTAGTACGGCAGGCTGTAATATGATAATAATCGCAGATTATTGGCCAAAAAATTTGGGCAGAGCAAGGTGTGGCTTCTCTGGTCTCAGCAATTTGGTCTCAGCAACTTGAGACCAAAAGGACAAAGTTTCACCCTGTCTCCTGTCCAGGAATGTGCCCTACCCTTCCAAGTTTCACAAAATCCTAATCTACAAATCTTTCAGAACTGTGCTCGCAGCTGAGTTATATTTCTAAGTTTTTGCTGCAGGAGGTCAACAATCCAGTGAAGAGCTCCCAACTTCTGTGCTTTTTATTTCATATTTGCTTCAAACGTCTGTTTTAGATCAGCTGGCAGAGGAGATTTCAAACTACAGTTTGAAGAAAACAAACAGTAAAATAAATTTGACCTTTGACAGACAGGACACTGTGATTTCCACCATGGCGAGGGGAGGGTGAAAACAGAAGAACAATCTCTGGGAGGTTCATTCTGACACCTTGCTCTGGAATCCCAAATTCCCTACCCTATCCAGTACTAGACTATGGCTGTTTTGATGTTAACATGAAGAACAGTCACTTTAACATGCGGTCAGAGGAGAGCATGTATGCCCTAAGATTGTACTACCCACAAAACGAATGAGAAGGGGACTCAAACCCTAAGGAAACACAAACTGAACATGATCCTGATGAAGAAGTGAGTCAGAGAATCCTACAATATTAGCTGTCCACTCGACACAACCAAAAGGTGCTGGGCACAGAGACAGAGTCCGGTCGTGGAGAGACAACAGGAATGACACGCAAAATGAAGATAAACCACAAGGGAGTTTTGGAATTATTACAGCACCTGGCTTGACTCGAACTATGCCCTCGGATAACCACTCAGGGTTTGGCCCCCTGTATCTTGTTCTAAAATATTTCCAATAAAATACAACTGGCTTTAAAAGAGTTCCCCTGCCACAATTTCTTTCCTAAACCAGAAGATTCAAAAGACAATAGCAGCAGAATGTAACAAAATGAGAGAGATGAAGTATCACCAAACGAAAACTTACATGCAAATTTATTACTTAGGGGAATTAGTCTATAAAACTACAATCGTTAATAAAAAGGTATGAATCTCTAAATTATAAATAACAATTCTAGGTAAAGCCTCTTCCTTCCACAAAGCAAATCCTTTTACTTACGTGTTTTAGCACCAAGTCCACAAGCAAAAACTTCCCCCACATCAGGAATAGAATGTACAATTGGGATCTGCAATGCAGATAAGAGGCCAGAGAAGGAACCAAGAATTTCTCTGTGAAAAAAGAAATCTTCAGACAAGTTTGTTCACCTAATTTCCCCCCTCACAGTCTTTCTTTTCCTTTCACGAAGTTTACAGAAAAGTCATAATGATAAATTTGTTACATGGGCATTATTCCCATGGCAACCAGCTGTGATAGCAGAGTGACAACTCCACAGCAACATCAAGTGATAAAAAAGGAGAGAGTGATGACTTAGAATTTTTCTCTTAAACCTCTTAAAAACTTAACCAGACACAGCACCAAGAGAGAGAAAATTCTCTAGGAAAATCACAGACTTCAAGTATCATTTTTACAACTCTACTCCCACTTAGAATTTTTTGTTGCTCTCCAAGGACCATGACCTCCTTCCCACGTATAACCGTGGCTTGTTCTCCAGGGTACGGCAACACTGCTCCAGGTAGCAACGGGGAACATGCAGGAGAGGACATTGCTCCCGGCAGGGACTGAAGTCTCCCTTGACCAGGGCTGCGGGCTTGCCAGGGCAGGAGGGCAGTTTGAAGTTCTAGTGGAGAACCCGTGAAAAGGATCTGATTCTGACCCAAGACCTATGGCCTTAAAACAAGAACAACAGAAAGAGGGATTTGATTCTTTCCTTTATGGGTGGTTCATTACATAAGTCTGAAATCAATGATAATTAAACCAACAACTTAATATTTTAATAAATTCAAAACATTTGCCAGTTGCCTTCTCCAAAATGGTTTCTAAATGAAATAAGTATCTTTGAGGGCCTTTACATGCATTGCTCAAGATGCTTTCATATGCGTTCTTTTTTTCTTTTGCTGAAGAGGAGTCACCCTGAGCGAACATCTGTTGCCAATCTTCCTCTTTCTGCTGAGGAAGATTAGCCCTGAGCTAACACCTGTGCCCATCTTCCTCTGTTTTGTATGTGGGTCACCGCCACAGTGTGGCTGCTGCCAAGTAGTGTAGGTCGGCACCTGGGAAACGAACCCAGGCCACCAAAGCAGAGCACATCAAACTTAACCACTAGGCCATGGGGCCAGTCCCTCATATACGTTTTTACTCAACCCTTATGACAAATAGGGTTTAATTACTTCTGTTTTGTTTTACACAAGTCAAAATAGAAGTTCAAAAAGGCTAAATGGCTTACAGAAGGTCATAAAGCAAGTAAAATGTAGAGTCTTCATTCAAACCAATGTTCTCCAACTTTAGGAGTTTATTCTTTAAAATTGGTACCTTAATTTACAAGTAATACATGTAAACTGTAGAAAAAAATTTAAATTACAAGAACAATTACATAATACAGAGAAGAAAGGAAAAATCAATTTCTGGCAATGCCACCACCCAGAGAAACCATTTCTATAATTTTGGTATATGATCTTTTCTCCATATACACATACAGACATGTAAATATGCACATTTTTAAACCATAATGGTATCACACAATATATTCTATTTCCATTTGATAAATAAAGCTCTACCTCAGTGATTCACAGGCAGAGAAGGTGAGAGAGAACCCCACCACCCCTCTGAAGGCATATCACAGCCTCAGGGGAGTCACAGAGCTTGAGGAAGCACAGTCCCATTGGTTGGTCACAGATAGGACAGAAAGTTAAGTTCAAAAAGTCTTACAGGTCAAACTGACCTACAGAAAGTTAGAGGTCACATATATTCCCACAGCAGTACAAGAGAGTACCCATCTCCCAGCACTGCCTGGGATACGACCGCTTCTCTGCATCTCTGCTAGTCTTATCATTACTGCTTGTCCAAGGTCACCCAGAGAGTAAGCGGCAGAATCAGGTTGTGAACCCAGGCACTCCGGCTCCAGTCTCTAATTCTTAACCACCAGACTAGTACACTACATAAAATAGTATCTATTTTCATGTGCATTTCTCTCATTACTAATAACGTTGAACTATTTTTCATATGTTAGCTATTTCTTCTATCAGTAGAATTTCTTATCTTTTTCACACTAAGAGTCCTTTATAAAGTCAGGCTAATTAATAACTTTTTACTTGTCATATATGCTGCAAATATTTTTTCACAGTTTATTGCTTCTCCTTTAACTGTGTTTAAATGTTCTTAGTTTTTATGTGGTCAGATCTATCACTTCTCCCCGCTTTCTGGCTCTACCTTCAAGGTGTGGGAGATCAAGATTTGGCCACCCTGAAATCTATCTCTTTACCTTGGTTGTTTTCTCTGAGAACATTTGACCTCCCCCACTAACTGCCTAAAGAATTTGACATGGTGGCTCCTTCCTGGAACAGATCTATCATGATGGCTGTAAAGA